TTCAAAAAATAAAAACAGTAACAACAAAACTAAACACCCTAAGATGTGCTTATCTTGGAATGATGAGACCTTAAAAGACAACAGGATGGTTTGCTGGCTTTTCTCTTCCAAAAATTTCAGAGTGGGCTGGCATAATATTGAAAAAAAATTAAATCTGCAGGAAAGCGGTGACTTAACTGACAGCAACTTTAGTTCTTCAGGATTCTGTAGTGCATATAGAATGCCACTGTGAATGAGAGCAGATGTTTTGAATACTTTTCCTTGCTCTCCTGTTTGAGGGTATAAATTGCAACCACTATCTCTTAAATGTCCTTACAACTGGAAGCCATCCATGCAAACTGTGATAGTCCTTACCAACTACAGCTGCCATAAAAAGTTAGTGTTACCTAACTGCTCCTTCTTCTTACAGCCCATAATAGTGTTACTGTACAGTAAATTGCTTTCATCAAGAAGCAACTGGAATGACTTCTCCCTGCATTCAGGCATCTGACCTAACAGTAAAGGGTGAGGAGCACTAACTGACAGGGACCTGCAGAGCACTGCCTTGAAGGTCTGCTCTTCCATACTAGCATATTCCTGGAGCAGATGGGAGGATATTGCTTGTGTCTTAGGAGGAGGAGAGTTCCAAGGCAGCTGGTAACGCAGCAGGATGCATCATGCTGTTCAGTCCCGTATAGGTTCTAAAGGGAAGTCTTGACCTTTGCAGTACCTGTCTGTAGCTAGAAATAGACAGGAGATAAATTCAATCATTTGGTTTTGTCAGTACAATAAAGCAAAGTCTGAGACACTTCTCATACATGCAGTTTTTGTTGGCTGCAAACTAGGAGGGGTGGGAGGGAACATAAATCAGCCAAGAAAGGTACTTAGTTACTGATAGGAAAGATCTGAGACTACGTCAGCAAAGATCTGTGCTCCAACCCCAAGTTTGGTAAGGTAATGCTGGTAACAGATTTTCAGAGTCCTTTGCTGTGGCCAATTCACACAAGTGCCCTGGAGAACTGTATGTGTTATGTCCTGAGGTCCTGTATATCTCCTTCTGCATAGACTCAAAGTTTTGCTATAATCTTACCACTAAGCAGAAATAATGGAAGAAGTGACAAAAAGCTAGAGTGATTTCCTTCTGATAAATATTCTGTTACTGTGAAACATAGAGCACGCATGTGTACTAGTTGGTACTCTTTGTTTTTGCTTGATTATTATTACCCACCACGGGAACATTAAAAGTCCATGGGTCACATATAAGGGCAGGAATTCAATAGTCTATCACAGTTTATGTAATGCAGTTTGAACAACATAATGTCACTAACACACATCCTGTTTTTATTCCCTTTCCTCCTTTTTCCCTTCCCTTTTAGAAAGGGAGCTCCTAAAATCCTCTCATTGCTTGTCACTCTGCATTTCTGGACAGAAGACCACTCCAAAGCCCTAGTGGCAGATTTAAGCCCTGGTTTGAGGCTGACCATCATTATTCATTCAGGAAAGGCTTCTAGGGAGCTTTCTAGGTAATTCAAAGTTAGAAATGAGGAACCAATTAGAAGAAAATTTCCTGTGTAGATTGGGAAGTCACTGCAGAATTTAGATATAGCTTAGCTTTAAAAAGCTTTTAAAAAAAAAAAAAAAAAGCTAAAAGTGTATTCCTACTTAATGATACCATCTTTATTGGCATGTCCTTGTAAGGCTCAGTTACTGACAACAGAAGTGAAACAAACAAACAAAAAAAACCAAAACAGAACAACAAAAAAAGGCAAAATGGATTAGTTTCCTTCTAGTTACATGATTTGTGAACAGTTTTTGTAGAACCTCCAAAAGAAGTAAAAAATAAAAATAAAAAATAAAAATTGTATTTGCCTCCAGCTACCTCTAATGACCACTACAGCTATATACTACATATACTAACTTAAGTTCCACTCCATAAATGAGTGATTTCCAGAGTCTATGCTTTATCACCCTGCAGAATTGAATTATGTCAATATATTGCTTTCTAAAGGAAGAGCTACCATTGTTCCAGCAAATAATTATATACAGCTGACTAACTTTTCAGAGATGGCATTAGGCTGAATGATTTTGAAGAGGTGTGCAGACTGTTTAGCACACTACTGGAGCTCAGACAGCACCACTGTTTTCACTGACAAACCAAATGCACCAGACAGTGAGCAAGGCTATGGCCTCCTTAAATTCCAAAAGAAGACAAGAAGAAATGCTGTAGTTAGTATAGAAGCAAGCAATTCAGAAGCAGCAATCAGTAGGTTTGTTTTGTACTGTGTAGGCAGCTAAACCAAGTGATTACTGGCCTCAGTATAGAAGTAGACTCCTATGTAACTGAAGGATGGCTTAGTACGGAAGCTTTTAGATGTAGATGGATGTTAATTTTAATATCTCCATTTCAGGCCCTGAACAAATGCTTCATGGTTCTTACAGTGATGTATCCATCAAAGGTTAGTTTTGAACGTGTATGTTTTAAAAAAAAAAAGTAAATCTTGAAGCCCACACAGGAAGAGCTGAGGACACTTGCCCTGCCTGCATAGGCTTCTACAAAAGTACAGGAATAAAGCAGAAAGTTTAGAATCAGGCCTTGGCGTTCATGACCACAATTGTCACTTATTTCAGGTTTTTTTTTCCCTTATAAATCACTTCCTCCAAGGAGAAAATACTTCATTTTGGGAGTTCCTCAGTGCTTCACAGACACTGCCACTATGTTCCTTTGGAGTCTGTGTAGCTTTGCCAGCTGGCCTATGTTAGGGCATAATCCCATCAACATCATCCTAGCAGGGCATGAGCAGCATTAATCTCCAGCAGTCTTTTTCCCTTTTATAGTAAAATGGGTTACAGTAGAAACTAAAGAAGAGATTTCTCATCATGGAATCCCAAATGGGTAGACTTGACTTTGGTCATCTATAGCCAGTAATGAACCATTGTGGCTTTGGAACTTTCTCTGGTGTGGAAGTTGTTTTGTAGTTTCTTGTAAGGAAGAAGAAAAGTATCTGCTTCACAGAAGTTCATTTATCATTTGGTAGAGATGGGCTTCCTTGTAGGTAGGATTATCAGTATCATCACGTGAAGCAACTTTAGACTTGGTGCAACTCAGTGAGGGCCACAGAAATAGTGTTGTCGTCCCCTCTCTCCCACAGGCACGAAATATTTGTGCTCTCTTATTAACATATGCTCCACAAATTTACATCCTGGTAACAGGATGCAGTTTTGGCAAGTGAATTCCATGACTGAACATTAGCTTTAATCACCTTTATATTTTGTGTATAGAAAGACCATTTTTGTGATGTGATGAACAAAATAAGATTATGATTAGAGAATCAATGCTATTAGACACAAAATACCAGAAGTTATGAGCATACATCTGAAGTCCAAGAAGTGGTACAGATCTGTTTGAACTGCAATTGCCTTTGTCACCCTGAAAATGCTTACAAAATGTATTCAAAGCAAAACTCAGCCAAATGGGAGGCACAAACATATTTTTACCCATCACAAATGACTGAATATTCCACAGTCAAATTCTGCGTACAGAAAGTATGTAATACAGATTGATTGCTATGCCAATCCCCGACCTTGACCCGTTCTTAACCCTTAATGTTCCCTGAAGTTTATTTCAGGACCTAACTTACCTTGAATTAATGTTTTAAAGCACTTTCCAGTCTGTGTGCATACATGACATAAATTAACATCAGTCCTTTGCTTTTAGGAACAGGTGTGAGATGGAAAAGATCTCTGGCACATACAGAGACCCAGGCAGCCAGTGATGCTCCTGCCTTCCTGCACTGGGCAGCTCTGCACCCTTACACAAGTAAGGCTTAGCACTAAGAAAGGCCTGAACCACAGATACTATAATGCTGACAGTTCCCATTACCCTGCTGAGCAGTGCAAGAAGGGGAGCTGGGAAGACAGTGTCAGGAGTCTTGTACCTCATCCCTGCCTATCTCTGCTACCTGTGAGATACACATCAGTGATTGCTAGCTGCTGGGAGATGGGTACTGTGAATCCAAGAGCCTGGGAAAAATCCTGTGTGCAGTTGAAAGTAATGTGATTGGAAAGGGATTTAATGTTTCTCAAATCTGTCCCAGAATATGTAGAGACAGGGATGTACTGAAGCACGGTCTGATTTTATGAAATGCTTGAAAACAAATTTGTGCAGAATTCAGAGAATTAGTTGAAGGGAAGGCCAACAAAGTCATTTTGTTATAAAGGAAGAAAAAAATAAAGAAACAGCACACAAATCCGGTATCAAACGCAGGTCACAAACAAAACAAGAGCTCTGCAAACTACTCAGATCTCAGGCAGTTTGGATCCTGAAATGTTAGAGAGACTCAAGAAGAGCAAGCTAAGGACTAGTGAGACCACAGCTTATTTAAGCAGTATGTAGCATTAGCACTCCTAGTGTGAGCGTTCTGGAGAAGCACAGTCAGCAACGAGCCGTACGTTCAGATTATTGTTAGCATGAATTTCACTTTGCCTGTCAGGTAAATTCAGCTGGTGATGCTCATTTGTATCCTTCTGGCTGCTCACAGATTATTTACCATTAATAGATCTTATTAAAGCCAGGTTAGGCTTTCATAATTTTTCCCCACAGTGTTTATTTTCAAAACAAAACTCAGTGGAACTCGTTAGTTTCATGTTTTAATCATTGCTTTCATAACGCACTCTTCTTAAATCTGTAGAGATAGGATTGTCTGAAAGTGCTGCTATTTAAGCACAATACTGCTTTTCTATCTTCTGTGCCTCATTTCTGTGTGTGCAGCACAACTTCAGAGTAGGAAGATGTTATCTTTAACAGGAATGTCTTCAAAGCAATTTGTCTTTCCTTGAAAGCAGCCATGGAGATTATACTTACAAACTTTTCTATCCTTCAGTGTAATGTGCTGCTGAGTCCTTGCGTTCTTCACATCTTTGCAATGCATTAAGAAACAACCAAAGAATACCTCCCCCTCACCCCAACTATACTTATTCCACTGAAAAATGAAGAAAAGCTAGGATTTCTACAGTGCACTTACCTGGAACGAAGCTTCCCTGGACCACTTCCTTGTATGCCCACCAGCCCTCATGGATTTTTGGTGAATTTTGTTGAGCTAGAAATAAACAAACCATAAAATTAAGGTAGTGCATGGGAAACACATAATTGCAAGAACTTTGGAAACTCTAAGCGGGTTATCATCTTCAACACAGGAGCCATTCTGCATGTTCCTAAACAATGTCTGTTCAATTAAGTGCCTGTGTCTTAGATCCCCTTCTCGCTGTTTCTCAGGCAGTAAAATGTGACTTCTGAGGAAGTGATCACTAAACTTAAATTCAGATAAAAAATGAGGTTTTGTAACTTTTGATCATTCACGTGTCAACTTTTTTTAAGGATAAAACTGCAGACAAAGTGAGTGAACTTCAAGCACAGTGGTCAGTATCTGAGCCTGAGTTTGTGGACTGAATCATTCTTTTCCCCTCTGCCAAGTTCGCCAGTCTCTCATTTTGAACAGGAAGAAATGACAGTGAAGCATAGGCCATAGCTGTGTCTGTATGTTTCTCCTTCAGAAACATGCTCTGAGTTCCAGAAAGAGAACAGGAATACGTAGCTCCTTGCTTCACTGGCCTATACCATAATGCTCAGGCAGGGAGATGAGTGTTGCAAAAGCCTTTAAGTTATCCCCCACTGCAGTCATCCTGGTGTTACCTGTGTCTGATGGGAAACTCTACAGCACAGTGCAGCAAACCAATGAGGTTTTGTGACCAATATTATGACAGCCATATGGACAAAAATCTAAGCTGTGGATGATGAGACTGTTACTTAAATAACTTCCCTAAACTTTCTGACAAGCCAAGAGTAGAAAGGACTTGATTTATAAAGACATGACTTCCCTTCATCCTGAAGGAAACGGGCATGGAGCAAATATAATGCTTAAAATATAAAATGTTAATATAGAAACATAAAGTTAATTGTTTCAAGGTCGTGCAGACAGACAGTAAGAGACATGGGCAGATCAGAGCCAGAAGCAAAGGTCTCAACTTTGCATGCTTGAATCTCCATGTTTAGAGCAATCTTTTCCTTGAGTTATAGAAAGCTCAGCTATCTTCTATATCACTAGCTTAATTTCTGTAATTGGACTTTCAATCCTTTCACCAGGTCTAAGAGTTCTAACATAAATACACAGCTAGGAATGATATGAGCTTTTGCAGCCTTCTGTTGCGGTTTTGTTTCTCAGTTGCACATTGTGTACAGAAGGCACAATTACCCTGGGAGAAGTTCCAGCAACATAACAAAAATTGTTGTCATTAAAACTTACAGAGGGAATGTGACATTCAGACTAAAAGATGAGGATGGCTGCATACGGTTCTATCCCTAACAAAACAATATTTGTGATTTAACTAACTGTAAGTTGCAGCCAGAAGTAAAGCTGAAGTTAATTAAACGTACTGAGAGAAGGACCACTGCTATCTGCTGACCAGAAGTCCAGACATACTTGTGGAATGGGTACGTGTGGATGTAGAAATCCCCTTGTGGTACTCATGCTTGTTCCATTAATTGGTTGGTGACACATTAAACTGAAAGGACTGACACACTGTGTACTCTTTACAGTTTGCGGAGCGCATTACCTTCATTTATTGTTTATATCTCTGTCTAGAGAACTCCAACCGTGTTCTGGCTTTGGACTACATAATGCAGACACTTGGAAAATGGCAAATCTCAAGCCATGATCCAAAACATGTGAGCAGCAAAATAGTCAGACTCAGACTGAACTGTTGTTAGGTTTTGGTGGGTTTTTTTGAATCTCAGCACTGGTTCATGGAGGTTACTTCTATGCTTATCTGCAGCAGAAGTCCTCAAAGATTTCAGGATGATTCAGCAATAGGAAAAGATACCAAGTGAGTCTCCAAAAGCACAACAATCACTTTTTACATAGTATTTCTCAGACAACTAGATTGTATTAAAATCAACTTTTTAGTAACACGCACAGTTAAAACTGCTACACACAACCAGAGGCAGCTGCTTCTTGGAAAAGAGTAAAGAAATTTGTGTGCAGAGGCAGGCAGCTTAAGAAGGAAGGCTGAGTACTTCCAAATGCAACTGCTTGCTGTCAATATTTGTAGAAACTTATACAATAGAAAACTGTATCACCTTTCCCACTCTGTGGCCAATCCTAAATGATGCATGTCAGGTCCAGAAGAAAACAACAACAAAAAAATCCAGTACTCAGAATTGAAATTAAACCAAAATCAGAAGGTGCCAGCTCTGTAGTTCTGCTTTGTTGTACTGTGCCAATGTTTAGTTGTTTAGTAAGGCTAATTCCAAAAGCAGTATCAGGAGAACTAAGATTTTTGGCATATTTTTTTCAAATCTCTTGCATTAATATGGAAACAAAGACTGTATGAAGTGAGTAAGAAAATTAGATTATCGAAGATTTTTACTAAGTAATTGGATGTCTGTGCAATCGCTTTCTCTATCAAAGAGCATGACCTACCATTGCTCTGCACTTTCCATAGATACCAGATCCTTATCTCTTTAATAGATACATAAAAATGAAACAGAAAGAAGAAATACAGTAAGAGGTGCTGTTTTCCCACAGCCTAAGGTAAGGTGAGAGCACAAGGGGGTTACTGCTGCTCCACAGAAAACTGAGGCCTCTGAGAAAGTCAAGGAGAAAGTTGAGAGAGGAGCTGGGCAGGCAAAGCCCACTACCATGCTCTTGTTTGAACCCTGAATCCTCTGCCTTATACCAGTCTGCCTTAGAAAGTAGACAAGAAGTTGTATCAGGAGTAAAAAAAAAAAAAAAAAAAAAAAAGAAAAGCTGTTCTGTTTCTGAAATAGACCCACACTTGGATTAGTGATGGAACAAAGGAATACAAAATTAGAATTAACAGACATATGGACAGTCCTTGCTGGGAATCCTATCTGGGCCACTTACACCTGATGCTCATACACCAATTGTACAGACCCAGGGCTGTACCAATGCCCATCTGACAGAGAGGCACTGTGCCTGGATAAACAGGTTCAACCTTATGGCTCAGGAATTATTGCCAAGGAAAAGGATTCTTCGTATTTGCCATCTCATGACACTGCTAATGAAAAATAATCTCTGCTTCCTTCTTATTTCAATTAAAGGAAAGCTATTTTATGTCTCATTGCAGTTCTGCTTGAGTACCATAACCAGAGACAGGCATGCTTTAGGGGTTCTGATGTTCCTGTGTTACTACTGGAACAGGGAGGCACCTGCATGGCAGCTCCTTTGTTTCTTTGTGAGCTGCCACATGAGATATTGAGAAGGAAAAAAGGTCTAGAAACCAGTTCTGTATTTCTAAGAAGGGGTTCAGTATCTAAAAAAAATGCTCATTTCTGATACCTCAACATCTTGTATTTTTACTGCATAGTTAAAAATAGTCGGGGTAGGAACCTGCATAGAACGCTTAGGTGCCTTTGGATTCCAAGGAATACTGTTGGTTCTATAAGGCATTGAAATAAACAGGTCCAGCTGAAGAGACTCTTTGCTGACTGAGCAGAGCAGAGGGAGCTGTGCAGCAGCTGTGTTAGCTCCAGCAATGTGTTCTGCCCCTAACAGAGCCAGTCCAAAGCACCACATTTGTCCAAAGTGCTAAAGGTTATTGAAATGACCTCCATTTGCTACAGTGTTCTCTTCAGTACGGAAATCACTAGGATCTGAGATTACTAGTTGTGCTGATATAACACTGTTATGTCAGATCTATTTCAGTGCAGCTGCTGTACATGAGACAGGATATTTATTCAGAGCAGATATAGCATGTTGCTTTCATTTTTTTTTCAGGTTATTGGAGTTGTATCTTATTGTGGAGCATAAAATTAAAGGCTAAATCCTGCAAGATGTCAAGTATTCAGTGACTTCCATCCATAGGGGAACTGTGCCAAACAGGATCATGAAAACATGATGTAGATGCAAATGCCAGAAGGTGTCAGTGCCACAGACTCACCAGTTAACTCTGTCTGGCTTAGAGGTTAAAATGGGTAGGCTTGTAATTCAAAGGGAGGTGGCGTGTTCTGTAAAACTATTTTAATAATATTGTCTCAGAAGCCAGGTACCAGAATGCAGATTCTGTTACATCTTACATCAGATTCTGTTACATCTACTAAGATTTGCATCTTGTTGGAAGGCTAATGCTAATATATAAAATGCAGTAGTAAATATGAAAGGCCTCCCAGTAAGCATGCCCATTTGGAAGATGTAAACAGAGCGCTCAGCTATTTAGTTACCTACTTTCTATACTTAAACAACAGGTTTTTTGGTGATGCCTTTCACACCCAAGCACAAGCCAGCAGCATCCTGCCGGGTCTCAGTTCTTCATCCCCTTCACCCTCATTCCACAGGAATGAAAAATGCTAAACTGTGGAGAGCCAGGCTCACCAAGGTTGGAGAAAAGCTCTTCTGTATTTGAACGTATTGATCTGAATTCCTGACTGCGATGTTATTCACTCTGTATGCTGCTTTCATATCCTAAGGGTTTTGCTTTTGATGACCTGATTAGCATTGCTCTGGCATTAAATAGATAAAAATCAGTTTTAGCACTGTTACCCCATTTTCACAGTTATGAGATTAGAAAGAAAATGGTGTAATTTTGTAATAAACATAATGCAAGGCATTAATTTATTGCTAATTAAAATTAGATGCTTTCGTAGAGGTTTAGAAGACATGATTTAGTAGAAAATTGGCCTTACAGACAACAGTGGAGGATGTGGTTGGCTGTTTGTTGTTTTGGTTTTCATTCAAGTAGAAATTTAATGTTTTTGCTAAACTCCATTCCAAGATGTCAGAGGATTCATGCATTTTGTAATTATTTTGAATTATTAGTTACTACATTTTACATGGACTTTTTGTACAGTGTTTAACCAAGAATGGGTTGCCCAAACTTTGGAGAGAATACAGAGTTTCTCAGTCTAAACCATCTCGAGACATACAAGTACACACAAGTATACAAGTATGAGCTTTTGGCTCATACCAACAAATGCCTCTCAAATCAAATGGAATACACTTGTCCAAAGTGGACCAGACGGCAGGGAAACTAAGCAGGTGCGATTAGCTTAAGATTCAGCCTTCTATAATTAATGTTCTCTTTG